GAGAGAGGAGAGAGAGAGAGAGAGGAGGGAGAGAGAGAGAAGAGAGAGAGAGAGAGAGAGAGAGAGAGAGAGGAGAGAGAGAAGAGAGAAGGGAGAGAGAGAGGAGAGAGAGAATATGAATATAAACGACAAGAGGGCGGAGCAGCAAGTGTTGTTTGCAAATCAAGTTTTTTGACCGAATATCAAAAATGTAGTTTCACTGGTTTACGCTCATTGTGGCACGGTACAAATTCACTTTCAGTTTACTACGGAATATTAAGTATATAATTTGAAAAGGTTTTTGAAAGTTTCTTATTCCTTCTCGAAGAATTACGGTATTGTTATTATTATCATTTTGGTTAATCAAAACCAATAGATCCAGTAAAAAAAATCTGATGTTTAGAGGAAAGCAGAAATGTTGCTACGGAAAAACGGTCAGCCATGGCAAAGACTTTGAATGAATTATATATATTGGAAGCATGACTTGGGTTGGTAACGGCCATGACTGAGAACAGTTTACATTGATACCGCTTAGAGAAATACAAGTCTTATGGTACCACATTTCCAATAAAAACTGTAAAGCGACATTTTATATTTTGGTCATAGGAAAATGCCTCTTTACTATACACACCTACACCTACACACCTACAAAGAAAAAACGCCTTTACCATGGAAGAAAGAAGGCAAAGAGGTGAAGATTATGCCATTCAAATACATTACAGGAATAGTGAAATTAGACAAAGATAACTCCAATTTTGAACGAAAGGACTAAAAGACCTATTGAAACATGGTCGTCTTTCAAGTAACGTGTATGCCAAAATGTGCATCGACTTAAAAGGTTAGGCCTATACTAAAACTTATATACAGTAGACGGGATCATCTGAGCCTAGCTCTTCTCCCGTACTGAAACAACTAGGTAAGAACACACACATATGGTCTTATGTATACAGGTTAATGGCGTGATGCGACATGGGCAGCAGCGTCAACCACAGATGCCGTCATAAAATTTTATTGTTTTATTATTTACTTTTCGTCATTCAGGTTTCCGAATTGCCAGACAAAACTTTCTCCTGTTGCGACACAAAATATATGCAAATTTGTGTGTACATTTGTAAATATGGAGTTCCAACGGACCGTATATTTAATAAGTCCCAAAGTACCTGTCAGTCATGTTGCATTCCGAAGACACGGCTCTTTGAACCAGGAACTTTCTGCATTTTTGTTTTTCACCATTTCTCCTTTCCCCCAAGCGTCCGTAGGTGTTAACATATAACTTTTTTTATGATTCATACTGAAAATTCATATATCTTGGCCTCCATATTTTTTCAGTTCCTTATTGATGAATACAAAGGCAATTTTCATCAAACTTATACAAGGTTTCATAATCAGAGCATATTTAATGTATGAGTATTCCTGTTTAATTTTCTTATGGGTGTAAACTATTTTCTTGGCTCAGGCTTCTGAAGTATGCACAGCTTCCCTGCCTTTCATAGGTTTGAGGTTTTTATCTGTAGCCATCGGGCACAGCTCATATGACTGTAATATGTCTCATAGTCAGCTTCCCACTTATGATATATACCATTCATACACAAGAATATGTTTGCAATAACCAGATCTATTGTGAATGCTAATTTCATTTTGTATATAAGTAGAATGTTATGTCGTAAAGGAAATGTCAATTTTTCTTTCTCATCATTGCAATCTTGCACTTTATTTCTCCATTAACTTGCAATGTTAACCTAATTTTTATTACATAAATGATTCCTTTCATATTATCTTTATCCATTCATTATATATCATACAAGGAAAATAAAAAAAACTGATAAAAAAAATACAGCTTTTATTTACTGCCACATAGACTACATTCAGAACACCTGCTAACTTTGTTAGAAATTTATAAGAGTATTCAAATTATTCTAACATACACAAAAAGCACATAACACATTAAGGAAGAACAACGAATATCACATTTCCTTCTACGTATGAAACTCTTATGACACAGAATATAGTACAGCATATGATAATACAAATTTTCGTCTTTGGCTTCAATGATCATCTTTTTGACATTAAGACATCCGGCATGAATGGTAAGCATACTCTACAATATGCAGAAGGGCCTATTGCATTTATAAGGTTCAGTACA